AACCCCACCTGGCATATGCCCAGAGGGAGCCAGGGGGTGGCCTGGCCAGGCTGAGGCAGTGCTTCTAGGGTTGGAGGGAGCTCTGGTTCCACCTGCTGTTCCCACGGCTGGGGCTGGCCCTGGCCCATGGGGCCGGCAGCACCTGGGCCTGACTCACAGGCCAGCCATGTGGCAGGGCCGGTTCTGGGCTCACACACCCACGGGCAAGGCCCATCCACTCTTCCCTGCTTTGGCCCAAGCCCTCAGGCTTAGCTTCTCTTTCTCTGACCTGAATACCTACCCACAGGACCCCTTTCACCTTCCCCACCGGCAGTGAGTGAGGGGGGAGCTATCAAGGAGGACGGGCAGGGGCTGCCTCATCCAATGTCTTACAAGACTAAAGACGATGATGACTGGGGCCTTGTTCTGCATCTCATGTGACCCCAGTGTGGGCATAAGCAGCAAACCTCTGCATAACTGGAAGGTCAGCTGTGTCATCCTCACCTGCCCCCTGCCAACCAAGCAGAGCCACGAGCAAGCGCAGTGTGTGTGAACCAGGCTCCGTCTGTCCGCAGGTCTCCCCGCCCCACTCGCTCCCGGTCCCGTGGGGGCACAGAGGTAGCCACAGAGGGGAGGCCTGCAGGCGAAGCGGTGCTCGAGCTTGGTTTGGAGGGATGTTTTGAGTTGAGCAGGCAAAGAAAGAAAAAGAATGAGGATAGCATTCTGGATAGAAGCGATGGCATGTTCAAAGGTCTGGGGGTAAGAGAGGCCACAGGGCACTCAGAACCTCCCATCCAGGAGGCCGGCAGACTCTGGAGCTGAAGAAGCAATGGGCAGTCCTTGCCACAAGCGCTCCTTTCCCAACACTTCTGAGCACACCTTTATTTGGGTCAGTGTGGGGTATAAAGTCAAAAAACAGTAACAGATCTTTGGAGCATAACTGTGTTTGGACATTAACTTGCTGTATTTGTCCCTGTACCCTCACCCTGACCCCCTCCCTGGTGCCCACCACAGTCCTGGGCACATGGCAGGAAACTCAATCATCATCTGTAATGTGAATGATTGAGCGGACAAGGGGTGACATGGCCACTTAGAGAGAAATGGAATGGAGCAAAGAGAAGCCAGCACACACACACACACACACCCCGCACCCCCCACCAACCGGTTGTTCTGTCTTTGTAAATTCAAGAAGGTTCCAGTTGTTTTTAGGGCAAAACTTAGCTTTGGCCCGTGCAGTTAGTCATTCTCCGGTTGTGACTTTTTTGGGATTTTTGCTGCTGATGCAACCTGGCGCAGGATTTCCACAGAGCACTGTGTTGAGCAAGCCGAGGCTGCAGAGGAGCGACTGGGCAGGGCCTCCTGGAGCTTGGAAGAGAGCCAAGTGGATGCAAGAAGAGGCAGACTTAAGCAGGGAAGTAAATGTCCACATTGTTGCCCAACCACACCTGGAATGTGTCCCGGGTAGCAGCCTTTGGACTTTCAGGGGACATTTATCTCGGCTGCCAGTGGCATTCAGTCAGCTCAGCACTGAAAACATCGGTTCTCAGAGTAGAGGAAGGCCCTGCTTCAAGCGAATGACAGGGCTCCCCAGGGGGCTGTGAGCCAACTGTCAGATGGGTCCCCCCACCCCACCCTTAGCCTTGGCGAAGGGCTTGGGGTTTGCGCAGTGAGGAAAGTGTACAGATGTGGACTAGCCACAGGTCGGGTCAGCCCTGTTGTCCTTGTCGTGGGGCCACCTCTCAGTCCCCTGGTGTGTTAGTCTGGGTACTTCAGAGAAACAAATCCACAGAAACTCATGTAAGAGAGAGTTTTAGATAAAGGTTAAGTGCACATCAAGAAAACATCCCAACCCAGTGCTGCCTAAGCCCGCAAGTCCAACATTAACCCATATGTCCGACACCAATCCACAAAGTCCTCCTCCAGCTCACAAAACAGATGCAATGATGCCGACTGCAGGGGGAAAGCCGAGTCAGTGAACAGGTAAGCACTCAGCGCTGGCAGGGGTCTCCACACGGCTGCTCCAGCACCCAGGGCTGCATCGGAGTAAGTCCACGTGGCTTCTCCTCAGGGATGTCTTGCAGGAAGTGAGCCTTGCCAGCTGAAACTGGGAACTGCTAAGGCAGCTGCACCCTGGTCCGACCATCACAAACAAGAGACCCGAGAACTAGAAAGGTGAGGCTCACCAAGTCTTTTATCTCTCCTCCTTCAATTAACCCCACATGTGTATATTGGCCAGGTTGGCACAATAAACTACCTACCTCACCTGGAGAGGCTGGGTTACAATGGGTCTGTCCACCATGGAGAAGCTGGTCAGGTTCCCTGCCCTCCACTCCCAGCTTCACCCAGGAGAGAATGATGAGCCCGAATTCCAGCATGTTCTAGAGCTTTCTGCCTTTAGGGAAACTCGATGCTCAAAGCGCCAACTTGGGCCGATTTTCTGGGAAGTTAATAAAGCCTATGTGGACTCACATGAACAGTGGACTCTGGACCTAGTTTTATTTTTTGACCATTTTGGATGATTTTTTTTGTTTGTTTTCTCAAAGAGGCTGGCTGTGTATCAGATTTAGATCCAACACAACAAGGCTCCGCTAGCCAAGGCTCTTAGACACTGTGAAGCCTGAGCAGCCTGTGGGCACCTGGGGGACTAGGCCCTAGAGGCCGCCATGTCAAGGTTCAGGCCAAGACCCAGATCTGGCCTAGCAGCTTCCCGGGGGACAAGAGGGTGATAGCGGTTCATTGCCATGAGTCAACTGCAAATTCTAGGACCTCAAGTTAGAACTTAGCTGTGCAGGGCCTTCATGAAAAGAGAGAAGTCAACAGGCCTCTTCTGGATGGGTGGGAACTACAGACCGTTAGGTGAGCAGTCAGTGCTCCAGTGGAGGGCTTCCGTAGCTGCCAGGATGGGCTGGGTAGCAAAAGGCTGGCAGCCATAGAAAGGGACATGGGGGGAGCCGAGGGCAAACGTCCCCCATCCAATCACGCTTCTAATTGCATGTCCGAGTAAAACTGCCCCCTGGGGTTTTCCATGGCTGTTTTTTCAGAAGCGGATTTCCAGGCCTTTCTGCAGATGGTCTCTGGGTGTGCCTGCACCCGCCCCGCCCCCGCCCCCCCCAGGCTTTGGATTAGATGAACTGTCTGTGAGTGCTTAGCTGCTACATGGATGCTATCTGTGTTCCCGGGCCCTGGGTTGGTGTGTGTTCTTCTGCACCTGCCAAGTGGGCACTTGCTGGAACTTAGGGGAGGGGAGAGGAGACCTGGACAGCTCTCACAGACCACCCTCCCACCCTTTAGGACAGCTGTACCCCAAGCCCTGTTGGTGGAGGTGTTGGGTGCTGGGTGGGGCAGGGCAGAACTGCCCCCCTTGAAAAGGAACTTAGCCTCCAAACCTGCCCAGCAGTGACCTGAAAGGCAGGTACACACACAGTGTGCCCCACATCCCACAGCCCTCACAGGTGCCTAAGCATCTGGGGTAGATAGCCCCCGCCTCCCCCAGGAAGCTTCTTTGTAAAGGCGAATTTCCAAGTCTACCCACTGAGAAGTGGCCCCTCACGTGTGCAGGTGACCATGTGGCTGAGAGATTGGCGTCCTTACAGGTTTTTCTCTGGAACCTGAGCTTGGTACCACACACACATACACATGCATGTGCCTGTGTCGGGCACACTCCTTCCCTGCGATTTCTGCAGAGAAACGGTGACTCTTGCCACACCCACTCTGCTGTCCGGGCTGACTATGTTGTTTTAACTGCCCTCACAGAGCCCTTCCTGGGCCAAGCAGAGGAAATGGGAACCTCTTTACCAAGCTACGCTGTTCTCTGGTGACTGCTCCAGGCATGGCCATTTGGCCATGGGTGTCAAGTCCTCCAGTGGGCAGCTGTGGGGCAGGGAAGAGCGGGGTGCGGTGGGGTGGGGAGCAGGACCCTTGGTTCCAGCCACCTCGGGAGAAAGCATTTGAGCGCATATGGCAGAAGGGCTGGAGAAGTGGCTATGGGTGGCAGTTGTTCCCTGTACACTTGGCTGTTCAGGGATCCTGTAGGGGGAGACCCGCATGCTAACAGCGCTCCCACCCTTCATCCAGTGGACTGCATTACCTTCTGCAGTTTAGAAACATCCTTCCTTGGATGCTCCAAATTCTTCCACCTGCTTGGCTCCATTCTGCAGAGCAAGTAGGCTGGCTCTAGATCCTAACTTGGTTACTCATCAAACGGCTGTGAGTCCTGGCATCTGCCCCAGAGATACTTCACCCTCAGCCCATGGAGGGCAACTGCTCCTGTCCCAGGCCCCCTAGTCCTGTCTGGCAGATGTTTCCCTGACTACCAGCACCCCCACCTTGATTGAGAGCCCCTGTGCTGACACACTGGGGAGGCTCAGGGCTGGTACCTTGCTTCTGATAAGACAACACCCAAGACTGGTTTTCTTTTGTAGTTGGAGTGACAGCTTTGCTGAGTTGAAGAATGGTGGAGTTACAGCAAGGCTAGGAGGCAGCGCCCAGGTATATGCCACGCCTGGAGCCACTCCCAGTTAGCCCAGATAGGGACTCTGCTCTGCAGGGTCGGGTGGGGATGGGATAAACCTATGGGGAGAAATTTACCTTTGGACACCCACTCCTAATGGGGGGGACTAACCCCAGCAGGTGGCCTAAGCCAGTTAAGACAAACAGGTACCTAGAGAGGTTCCCTGGGCCAGGAGAAACATTCACTGCAATAGTGAAAAAGCCAACCATGCCCTTTGCCCTTATTTCCTCTCCCTGATACTACCTCATAGATCTCCTTAGAGATTACTCTGGGTACCATGCAAGGGTTGCCATGAGCCAAAATCGACTGGAGGGGTTCCATTCTAGCCTGGTATACAAGGACCTGCCTGCCTGGCCACGAAGTGCCTCATGGCATGCACAGGTGGTGACTCAGTTGTCTGTGTGCCCAGACTGCACAGAGATGGCGTGGTGGTGGTGGTGGGTGTCCCGTAAATCCCCACCTCCCTTTCCCCCTCAGTGACACAAGTTGCTTACCCATGGGGCGACACCACTTTCAGTGATCATCATTTTTTAATTAAAATACTGTTGTGCCCAGGGGAATGCAGCAGCAATCCTGGCACAGGGTGGCGTAACAAAACAGCCGGGTTCCCATTTTAAATATTTACGATAACTTAAATATACAGACACACACCATGGTCTTTGGCAGAAACCGTTCACAGCACACACACACAAAATACTTTAAAAGAAATACCAAATATCAATCCAAAATATATTAAGTCGCTGTGTGTTTTTTCCCCCCTTCACAATAGTTTTTGCCTCCCACCCCACCTCCCTTTTCTTTTTGCTTTGTAAACAACGCACATGAACCAAATGTACTGTTCGGCTTACGGTGGGGTGAGGAAGATTAAAAAAATATGCAATTGTCCAGCAAATGCCAATGTTTAAAAAGAAAACTTGAGGAACTGTAGGAATAAAATAACACATACATAAAACCTAAAAACAGTAAAGGAAAAAAACAAAACAAAACACAAACACCAATAAAACAAGAGTCACAGAGTCAAGACAAACTGCTGAAATCCACCAGTCACTCCTGGGGTTGAGTTGCAGGGAAGGGCACCAACCTTTAAGACCAGAAGTCAAAGTTTGCTGCTGATGGCAGACTGCCCAGTGGGGCGCTTCACCCCATGTCCAAGGTTTCTGGCCTTGCTTCAGGGTACGGGTAGCTTGAGGAGCCAGCCTCACGGGCACCATTTGGTGATGGGCACTCCGTTCTGAGGACTATTTGAGTCTTGTCTTTCATCTCATTTTCAACAGCAGAGCTTCCTGTCCCCATCCATCCGGCGGGGAACAGGGTCACTCAGGAAACTGACCAGCTTCTCCAGTTTCCTCGGAGCACTGGTATCGATGGGGGGAGGCCCCCCAAGCCCACGCATGGGCATGGCAGATGTCTGTGTGTTGGCTCGTTCATTTCATGTGGCTCAGGATTTACGAGCAAACCAACAGGGTGTTTCAGGAACAAGAGCTGCAGAGCCGTGTCAAGAGGCTAGTGAGGGGTTCGAGATGGAGAAAAAGACAACAGCCAACATCCCATGAATCAACCGGTATCAAACTCCATGGCCGAGAACTTGAGGAGGAGAAAGGGCTGGGCGGCCAGCCAGAAGTCACAGGGAAGGTGGCAGCAGGGGCAGGGAAGCGCAGCGCAGGGGCCAGAATTGGAATCAGCACGTTTCCACCTTCGGTTCCACAAAAGGAATTATATACAAACTGCACAGCACCGCCCAGTCCATTTAAATGGCCCCTGACCCACACCAATCGAGGCAGTCAGGCTAGGGCGTCCGTAAGACCAGTGTCCCCAATGGTTCCCCCAGAGATTTACGTCTTGCTGATGCTAAGGAGGCAGTGAGGAGCTGAGGACAAGTGAAGGTAGCTGGGCACACACACGGCACAAAGGAGACACCGGGGCTGACTCAATTCCTAAACCAGCCTGCCCGCCTGATGTCCACGGGCAGCCAGCCTGGAAGTCAGCCCTCCACACAAAGAGCCCCCTTCCCTCTGACTTAAGTATCAACTGGGCGGTCAGAGGGGGTCCTCTCTCTTCTGACCTTCTGACAGCAAGCCTAGGGCAGCGGGCCAAGGCTGAATCCTCATTTTCCACAGACCCTGGAGGAGGAAGTATGTGGCTAAAAAGCAGGATCTTCCTGGTAAAATGTTAGTGCTCACCGCGCCCCTTGCCCAGAGCGCTCCTGCCAGAGCTCCGGGGACCAGATAATGGGTGGAAATGAGTGCCTGGTTGAGAAGCACAGGAATCAGCAGGTGCAGGGGCTGCTGGAATGGCCGGGTGGCAGATGCTGAGGAGGGCAGGAAACAGCTGAGTCTCTTTCAGATCAGTATCTCCACCATGTCTGACAAGTCCTGGGCTCTGGATGTGGCTACAGAGTCTGGGGAGAGACAAGACCACAGCACAAGTCCATCAGGGTGACCACTTGGCTTTTAAAGAAGCCTGCCACGTTCTGAAGAGAAGTCCTTTTGGGCGCATCAGCTTCTCCCAGCAGCCCCTCACAATGCTCTACTCCCGCATCCACCCCCAGCCGAGCCTTCCCGTCTCTGATGTGGAAGACTCATTTGTTTCTAACTTTGAACTAATTGGTCAGAGGGAACGGTGGCGAGGCCTGAGGGAGGGAGGCTACAGGATTCTTTACATGCCTGTGGTTCACTGAGCAAGTAAGGCACAGGCAAGTATGCAGAGGGGAAGGGGAAAGGGGCGCACAATTGTCACACTTCTCCTTCCCAGACTTTTTGGACAGTCTATTAACTGGAGAGCCCCGAACAGGAGAACAACCACGCTCCATGGTCTTAGCTGTTCGGAGAGGCAGTGAAATATATCGAGAAAACTAGGCAAGCAGAGAAAAAGTGCTTCTCGTTTTCTCGCTTGCTTTGGGGCTGTCTTTAATCAGGGCCCCTCATCCTCCACTTATGTATAAAACAGGCCAGCACATGCACATTAACATGGCGAAAGACCCTGCTCACACCTCCTGAGCCGTCAGCAGGGGTGGGCCTAGGAGGAAAGGACCTGGGGTCCCAGTGTTGTGAAGCTGGCCCTTCACAACAGAAGCCAGGGTGGGGCACTTACCTGGTGAGGCTGTCCGCTGGCTACGGGTGCCCCCCGGAAGGCTGTCGGGCTCCTGCACCACACACGTCGGGGCGCTATCCAGTGGGCCATCCGTTTGGGCACTCCCATCTTTGCTCCCGTGTTTGGCATGAGTTAGGAAAAGGGCTGTGCCCGCTGGCTCCCCTGCAGGGGCCTTGTCAGCTGGGAAGACAGAAGGTTGAGGGTGACCGATCAGCAAAGAACCGCGAGTGAAATGGATGTCTTAGGGTCACAGCTTGGCACACGCGGCTGACTCTTGATAGGCCCAAGCGTTCCAAAGTGGGTAACTGTGAACAGGTTTCCAAAAGCTTTGGACGGTGAAGCTCTTCTTTCTAGATTAGATCCTGAAACCACCACGGGCTCCAGAAGAGGGGCGCTACGTGTTTAGGGTTGGTGCGGAAAGTGCAGCCACAGGAGCAGCTCTAGGGGTGGGGTCAGGGTAGAAGGTGACGGTGTCCTGGGAGACAGGGTGGTGCCTCGGGTGCACTCTACGTTTGCAGGACAGGAGTGAGCTGAAGGACCACTCCCGTAAGGGCCAGAAGGTAAATTGGTTTGCCTACGAGACACCGCTTTGGCAAGAAAGGCCTGACACTTTGTGTTTGGGTCGCAGAGAAAGTACCCTGCTGTGGTGCCCGCCAGCCTCCTCTTACCTAGAGTCATGTGGGCAGAGACATCTGCTTGCTGCTCACTGGAGGGCAGCCCTGGCCAGCCTGGGGTGCCGGCCGCAGCAGCGACAAAGATGGATGGCACAGATTTGGCGGGCCGCAGGGAGCCCTGGGTGGCCTTGGCAGGGTCTTTCCTGGAGCGCTGCTGAAGAACCTTGATCACGGCGTCCTTCTCCAGGATCTGGGCGTGGAGCACCTTTAACCTGAGGGGGGCAGGGTGAGACAGGATGATGAGATCAGATGGTCCAGCAATTCCTCTTCCCCCTTGCCCTGGCACAGGGCCAGGAGTGGGCCTTCACAGCTCTGGCACCACCTGCTCTTGGATCCTGGACTCTGAAACCCATGGGCATAGGGCCCTTTTTACACCAGCAAAGACAGCTCACCAAGAGATGGATTGTAAACCTATCTGATGATGGCCCTGGTCCCAGAGGGCAGTGGCCCAGAGCTGACTGACCACCACAGGAGCTCGGCTGATATGTGTGTACTTTTGAACCAGGGTTGAACAAATGGAATTCACATTGGGCCTCTGGAATGAAGATATATATATATATGTATATACTTTTTTAAAGAAAACAACTAGTTACTCCCAAAGCCAGCAGCCTTTCCACATCCTGTGATAACATAGGGCGGACTCCATGGGAAAGCCTTCTGGACTGACCCGGGGACGGGGTAGGGAGATGGGGACCCAGAATGTCACCCAACCCGTGCACAGCCAGCATCCTAGATTGTCCAAAGACAGCAGGGACAAGCAGGTGGACACACACTGCCCTGGAGTGCCAGACCCTGGTCCGCTCAGAGGCAGGGGGGCCCGCGGATGCGTTAGGGAGAGGGGCCTCTCTATCAGGGATTAAGGACAGGGACCGGGCATTGCCACCCTTCCCAACCCCTTCCCTCCTCCCGGCCTGCAGTGCCGAACCTGCTCTCCATTTCCTGGTGCCTGTGGCCGCCGACCAGCAGGCCCTCGTTGAAGCTGCTGCTGGGCGAGGGCTGGGGGGAGTGTCGGATGAGGGTGGTGTCGCGCTGGGCGGCAGCTGTGGCAGCTGCGTCCATGGCAAACTGCCTCATGGCCCGTTCCTCCAGATACTTCTGCTCCCACTTGGTCATGTCGGCTTCCAGTGCCAGGATCTGCTCCTCCTTCTCCCGCAGCTGCTCTGACAGCCTCAGTGCACTGAGCTCTGGGGACCCGCCACTGCTACAGCTCAGGGTGCCTGCCTGTCTCTGCAAAGCAAGGAGTACTGGGGTCAAAGGCGGAGGCGGGACCATTGCAACCAGCCACGTGCGAGGACTCGCTTATATGGATTTGCTCAATGATAACACCCTGGGCTCCTGAAAGTACCCTAAGATATAGCAGATGACATAGGTCCCCAACACTGTCCTGAATCCCATGGCTATGGGTATAGGAAAAGTCAGGTCTTCACAACATAAACTAGAACTCAAACTCATTGCTGTCAAGTTAATGTCAACTGATGACTCCCCCCCCCCCCCCCCCCCCCCCCCCCGCCCCCGTGTTACAAAATAAAGCTGATCCACAGGCATTGCTTGTCTGTAATCTTTACAGAAGCAATTTGCCAGGCCTTTCTTCTGTGGTCCCTCTCGTGAGTTTGGTCCCTCAGCCTTCAGGGTAGCAGGTGAATGCAAGCCATTTCCACTACCCACAGACCTTTGCATAGGTGACCCTATAATCTTCAAGCTGGGAAAGTATCAGGCAAACTCGGAGACCCGTCACCCTATATGTGTGGGAAACGAGTGAGGCCGAACTCTAGCTGGTTTGCAAATGCAAGGGCTCTTTACACAGAAGTCCCAAAGGAGGATAAAGATTCGGGATCAGGGTGACCATCTTCTCTCCTGGTCTTGGGGAGAGACAGACTAAGAGTTGGCTGGTCTTTCTTCTACATCAAGGTTCCACTGAATTTCAACCTGGCATCAGAGGTCCTGACCTTTATTCACAAGAGTCCAAGGACTCTGGCTCCTGCTTCTGGCTGAGGACAGACCGAGAGCCTCGTGTCCTGGGAGGCTGGACAAACCAATGGCAAAGCCGCTGCTAGGACTGGTGGCTGGGCAGGGCCTTGCAGCAAGGGAGAAACACGGACCACTCTTGAATTCCAAGGGGGCTGTGGCCGAGATTTGAGCAGGGGCTCCCAGAGGTCCTGGACTTGGTTCCTAGCACAGGAGCCCTGGGAAAGGGCGGGAACTAACATCCCCAGACTGCTTCTCACTGGGCCACCTTCACAGGCCTTTGGGGCTCACCTGCTGCGCACGCAGAGCCTTGAGTTCCTGCTCCAGGCGCGTCCGCAGACGTAGCTCCAGCTGCTCGCGCTTCTCACAGGCGGCTTGCAACTGCCCGAGAGCCTGCTGCAGCCGCTCCACCTTCTCCACGTAGGCCTGCTTCTTGCGCAGCTCCTCCTCAGCTCGTGCCGCCCGGCCCTGGGCATTGCTCAGGGCCTGCTCCAGCAGCTCGGCTCGCCGCCGTTGGTCCTCAATGGCCCCGCGCAGCAGGGCCGTCTCCCGCTCCAGCTTCTCCTGCTCCTGCTGCTGCTCGTAGCCTGCAGGAAGCAAGAGCAGTCTGCTCATCCTCTGAACGTAGAGGTGATGGTGAACACCCTGGGCTGGCCCTACGGAGCGCTCACTCCGTGCCGGATATGACAGCAGGATTCCATCTCATCCTGCCAACAACCTGGCGTCAAGCACCACGATCAACCCCACTGTCCACAGGAGGAACCGGAGGCTCCTGCTAAGTCCCAAGTAAATGGTGGAGCCTGACTCGACTCCTGGGCCCTCGCTGTAACAAGTGGCACTCCACAAACCGCAAACACCTGCTTCTACCTGGTGTCACCTTTTCCAAAATATATTCGTCACTTCCCCTGACCTTCCTGGTGACACTAGAGACTGTCCAGGTAGGAGCTGTGATACTCGATTACAGATGGGGAAGTGGGGGTGAGACCGACTGTCCTATGGTCACCATGCAGGTGGGAGGAGATAAAGGAAGAAGACAGTCGCCGTTTGCTGAAGGAAGAGCCAGGCAGGCATTCGTGCAGCTTATTCTACCGAGGCCCCCCAACAACAGCCCCTGGAGGCAAGACCCATGACTCGAAACCAGATGAGGTGGCCACAGGGGTGAAGAGAATGGGTTCCAGGTCAGGCTGCTAACCGCCAAGTCGGCAGTTCAAAATTACCAGCCACTCCAAGCAAGTGAGATAGGCTTTTTCCTCTTGCCGAGATTTAGTCTCAGAAGCCCACAGGGCAGCCCCCACCGCCCTCCAGGGTCACTACGAGTCAGCTCGATGACAGTGAGCCTGCGTGTGGAATGCGCTCTGGTCGGAGCCGTCACCATCACGTAACTGAAACGGCGTTTCAGATCACGTGGTTTTGTGGACACAGCACTGGTGGTGGTGCTGCTGCTGAGGTTTTTAGGGCTGATCTGGTCACATTTTCCGATATTTTAGTTGCAACACCGTGGTGACTCGTATGGGTGGACCTGAATCGATACTTTTTTTGAGAAGGAAGTCATAACTACGGGGAAAGGAGGGGAAACGAGCTTCTGCCCAGTTACTGCTGTTGTAACGGATACTGTGGTAACTCAAAGCAGAAAGATTTTACCAAACAATTTACCATCATTGTTCACAGAATCCAAGAAATATTACATTTAAGCAATTTACAACTACAACGATCACATATGGCTCTGTCACTAAAATGGACGATAAACATCCCTAGAGCTTCTATATGGCCTGGCAGTGAAGGAGGTCCATGGGTTGGGGGGTTGACACTCTCTGCTCCCTCACCAGTGACAGCAACCCCAGGCCCACTGCCCAGAGACTTTCTCCATGCAGCTTGGCTAAACAAGGCCCAAGCCAGACGGCCAGTCTTCTGGCTGGTCCTCCAGGCTTCGTGCAGCTGCCGCTGGGCAATTTTGGCTGCTCTCCCTCTCTGCACCAGTGAGTGTAAAGGCTGCCCACCCTGCTGTGGCGCCAGAGGGGCACGGCAGGGCCTGCCTGGTGACCCCAAAGGAACAGCCCCGAGAGCAGCCCTAGCTGGTGGGATTTCTGCTACATGGAAATTCTCTACAGTCCCGTCCCACACCCCTAGCTTACTTCGCCCTCGAGAGGCAGCTACTGTGTTGACTTGAGAGTGTTAAGGTTTTCATGTAAGTTAGTGTGGTTCTAAGTCTCCAAGTTCTGGAACAGAATGGAAGGCTTGGGATTATGGGACTGAGAAGGGCCCAGGGGCGGGAGGAAGCCACAGGCCATGCGCGTGGGGCCACTCTGGATTCGTACAGGCTACAAGTTGGCACTGACTCGTGGGCAGTGGGTTTGGGTTTTCTTTTGGTTTGGGACTCAGGCTGGCTTCATTTTCTGGCACAGAGGGAAAGGTGGGAATGGAGCTGGGCTCAGATGACAACCCACTTCTTCCTGTGTTTAGGATCTGCTCACTGCCTGCACCTCACTCCAGCCTCTCGGAGGTACGAAGGGCAGGGAGGTCCCACCTTGGGCCCACCCTCAAAGAACCGTGCCAGAGCTACAAGAGGCAGAAACAGGGCTTGAGGTCCCCAGGGTGGGCAGGCCCTACCCAGAGGGGTCGGTACTGAGCTCTGCATGGCTTGCTAAGATGGCACTGGTGATAAGGACCATACTTTGGTGCCAGATGCTGACTCAAAGTGAAACCCACTGGAGTCTAGTTGCCTGGGAATTCCGAGACCCCTCAGCAGCCCTGCAAAATGGCTATCCAGAAGCAAGTCAGAGTGGCTTGCAGCCCTGCGTGCAGAGGGGTCATCGAACCAGCACTATGCGTTCCGCAGCTTCATACCGAGTCCTCTGGGCCAGCGGTTGGCGCTCCGGGTCATCCCCAGCTACCAAATCCACTGCCAGCGTCCACTCCCACTCAAGAGCAGCCCTGTAAGGCAGGGCAGAACTGCCCGTGTGTTTCGACTAACTCTTTGCGGCCGCAGGAAGTCCCATCTTTCTCCCGCAGAGCTGCTGACCCTGCACTTAGCAGCCCAATGGCTACTCACTACCCCACTCCAAACCCGAACCCCCAGCCATCAAGTCCGCGCCACCCCTGTCAGTAGGGTTCTGAGACTGTAACTGCTGACAAGAGCAGAAAACGCGGTCTCCCCGCCCCTCCCCAGCGAGCTGCTGGCGGTTCCAAATGCGGGCCACGTTGAGATCTCAGCCTAACACCTAACCACGACACCACCAGGACTCCCCGGCGAGGACCCCATAAAACCGTGGGCCCGTGGATCTTGAGAGGCAGGTCAGCGTCAGAAAGGTCCCGGGCCGGAGTGGGAGCCACGGTGGGGCATGGGGGGGCGCACTGGGCGCTCGAGGGTACAGGGTGGTGCGCTGGGCTAGCTGGCTTTCAAGAGCCTTTAGCCCCGAAAGGCCTTCCTCTCCTGCTCCCTTCCGGGTCACTTTCTTTCCTCCCAGAGCCGGGCTGAAGGGCGCCAGGCAGCGCGGCGGCTGCAGGCGCGGCGGGGGGCGGGCCGGAGCGGAACAGCCCGGCGCTCTGGAATGTCAGGCATCCAGGTCACCCGCGGCTGCGAGCTTAATGGCTCCCGAGAGGAGCCAAGAACAGCGCCGCGGCGCTCCCTCCCCGGGGAGCGGAAACACCGCCAGGCCCGCCTCCTCCCTCCCCTCGCTCAGCTCCAGGCAGGCTCCCAGAAACCCGCCCCATCCCTTCCTTTCTCTGCAGGACCAGGCCCCCAAACTCTCCCCTCTAGGGGCAGAACACCCTTTGAAGACCTCACAGCACCCACTGAGGACAACCTAGCCAAACTCAGGCGGTGCTGCTGCGGGAACTGGTCAATTCCCACTCAGCCAGTCACGCGACCGAGCAGAACAGCCCCACAGTGGTTCCCAGGCTTCTCATAACTGACTGCCATGAGTAGATTCCGACTCAAAGCTACCCCCACAGGTTGGCCTGCCCCTGTGGGCTTCCAAGACTGTCTAGGGGTGTAGAGAGACTTTCTTTCTCTCCAGGAGCGGCTGGTGGGTTCGAACTGCTGACCTTGTGCTTAGCAGCCCAGTGCATTAATCACTAGGCCACCAGGGTTCCTCATGATGTGTTAGGAGATGACTGCATCCTTCTGCAAAGCAGCTGGATGAGTTTGAACAGCCAACTTTTCCCGTAGTGGGCCAGGGCTTAACTATTGAACCCAGCTATTCCGTCAGTCTGTACTGTGTACCCACCTTCCCTGCCCTGGGCTTGGAGTCTCCCATTCAGAGCTGGCTGTGTCCAGGGGTCTGACACACCTTGAAGGAGGAGGGGGATATTCCAACCAGTGCCCAGTCCTCAAGTTGGTTCTCCAGTTCTGGACATCCCTACTATCTGTGCCCCTCACAGCGGGTTTCCTTGCCGCCCCTCCTTCCTCAAGGTCACTCTCACCCCAAGTCTACTTGTTCTACAGATGCATCAAATATTACAACAGTACTTGGTAATAACTAACTGCTTCTCTGGCTCCTCCCTCCTGCCCCTTGGTCATCCTGTCTCCCCTGACCTTCTTCCCCTGGTAGCTGTCTGGACTCCCACTCTCTGCCCAGTGCATGCCAGGTGCCAGGACAATTCTACTAAATGGACAAATGCATGGCCTGCTCGCCCATGAACTCATCCACTCCTTAAGAAGGCTTCCACAAGCCCCTTCTTTAGACTGGACTTCTTGATTAAGCTCCAGGAACCTACAGGGGCTTCTCCCCAGAACCCCCTCCCGCTCTACCACCACTACCAAAGAACATGGAATTTTTCCCATGAACTTTCGGAAGCCCCTTTGTTTTGGGAGCCCTGGTGGCATAATGGTTACCAGTTGGGTTGTGATCCTCAAGGTTGGCAGTTCGAAACTACCAGAGAAGCTCCTTGGGGGAAAGCCGGGCTTTCACTACCATCAATGGTTACAGCCTCGGAAACTCCAAGGGCAGTTCGACCCTGTCCTTATCCGGTCGCTCGGAGTTGGCAGTGAGTTCGGTTTTGGTTTGGTAGGCAGCGGATTATGTTCTACCCTGTCTCTGATTGGATCCCACCCCATGGCAGTTAAGTTTGGGGAGTTGTCTCCAGGCATCTCCACTCGGTCACACTGCTCTGGCCTCAGTTCTGCCCAGGGCTCACATTCCCGTTGTGTGTCTTCAAACTGCTGGGGAAACTTGGCCTCCTCTTCTCCTCACCCTCGGCGCCTCCAAGCCTCTCCTGGATCTGGCCCGCTGCACTTCTGCCTCAGTTACACTGTGCTTCCAGGAGCCACCACGATGGTCGGCACCCACACTGAATCGCCCGTCAACAGAGAAGCAAATCTCACTCTTCTCTGGAAGCCAACACCTGTTCCTAGTCCAGTGTGCTGCGGGACACCCAGTGGGTAATTCAACAAGCCTACGCTCAAAAAGCACTGCTTTGGCCCGGGGGAGGCTGTTGTGGCGCCCCCACCCACATGCCCACCAGGTTTCTCAGTGGGGCCCATACTCACTCTGAGCAAGCAGCTTGGCCACCATGTCCTGACTGCCGGCCTGGGCCTCTTGTGTCTTGCTTGTCAGGCGGCGGTTTGCAGATTCCAATCTCTCTGTTTCCAAAGAAGAGAAGATGCTTTAGTGTGAAGCTTCCCTGCCTGGGTTTTCTCTGGAGCCCTGTCGGGGGTGGGGGTGCACTCTATAAGCTAGACAGGGCTCAGAAGGAGGCGTTGGGGTTATCTCGGGGTCTCAAGCACCCCTTCAGGACCACAGTGGAAGGAGGGGACCACAGTGGAAGGAGCTCTGGAGGGGCTGCAAGGTCCTGAACACAAGGACTCTCAGCCTGGCCCCCTTGCATCAACTTGTACTTGGTTTTGCAGAGGACGGAGATTCTGAAACGTCCCTGGGAACAGCGGGTTCAAGCCCTCCAGACACCCCTTGCTGCCACCCGCACCACTGCCTTTACCTCTAAGATCCCTGTTGAAGTCCTGCAGCCTCCGCATCTCACTGTCCATTTTGTTCCGCATGGTCTTCTCAAGGGCCTCGCGCTTGGAGGAGGCTCTCGTCAGGCTCTCGTGGGCCTCCGAGAGCCGCTGGAGTTCGCCTTCCAGCTGCAGGAGGCAGACAGCAGAGCTGAAGGGAGAGCTCCCCAGGGGCTGGAGGATGCAGCCACCAAGGCCCTCCCCACGGCCCAGGCTGACAGCTCCTCGCCTTCTGAAATGGGGATAGGAGTGTGGATACAAAGCAGGAGCCAAGACTCCAGGTGGCTACAACAAGGTGGTCAGAAGCTCGGAGCCTCCTGAGCGAAACTAGATGATGAGGACCGCAGCCATGGCCCAGAGTCTGATCCCTTTGGACACTACTGGTCACAGGAAGCCATGAGGCAGCCTGCTCAGACTGAATCTCAACACACAGCTGGGAAGCTGATGCAGGGGGTCAACAGACCCCAGTCTGAGCTGGCCTCATTGCCCGCCATCCATCCAAGAGGCCAGCCTGGGGCCGAGCGCCCCTCCCACTTGGCTGCCAGCAGGTTCCACACGTGCTCCTAGCTGGCTCTGCAATTCCAATAAGGCGTTGTTGTTTTTTTCCTTTCCCCAAAAGGAGGGGCTTGCTCTGTGGCCAGGCTTGGGCTGGAACAGACTTGCTGTTGTGTCAGGGACACAAAGGGCTCTCTGTGGGAGGTGTCCAAGGGAGGGGGTGTGTTCAGGGCAAGGGTGCGAGCCTGCAGGGAGCTGGTGAATGGGCTCTTTCTAACCACCGCTGGCTAGCAACTGCTCACGCTCCCGGCCTGCTCGGTGGGCCTCACACGGCTGCTCCTCAGCTGTCTAGAGTCAGCAAGGGAGGGTGCGTGGGGTGGGGGTGGGGAGGACGTGTAAAGGCGCACAAAAGCCTTTCCTGGCCCAAGTTTTCAGGCTTCTGTCTGCTCTTGGACTACCTACTGCCCTCCCTGCCCCCTGAGGCCCCAGCAGGGCATACCTTCTCCATGCGGCCAGCCTTTTCTACGGAGCTCCCCAGCTCTCTCTGCAGCCTCTCGTTGTCTCTCTGGAGCCTGGCATTCTCCCGCAGCACAGTCTCCAGCTGGGCCAGGTGGGCACTGCCCGAGGGGGCCAAAGAGGCCTGGATGCTCATTGGCCCTTCCACTTCAGGTGGATTGAGGGAGCCCAGGTGTCCGTGGGCGTGGGCATGAGCGGCAGGGGGTAGAGGTGGGGGGTGCTCTTGGGGCTGCTGCATGTACTGATATTGCTGTTGCTGCTGCTGCTGCTGCAGGAATACTGGGGGCACCTGGGTCTGCAGGATCCTGGGGAACAGAAGAGACAGTGTTCAGAAATAGTGTTCAGATGCCCACAGCTTCTATCCCAGGGTGTCCCCACATTGGCAGGCTGGGAAGACCAGCAGACTTAGCTTCCCCACAGTGCTAGGTGGCAACATTCTTCCAAAGAGGATCTACCCAATCAATACCCTCAAGGGACACAGGAGCCGGGCTGGAGGAGATTAACGCCACGATATCCAGTCTCACAGTGGTGTAGGTCTTGGGATTGGGCTTCCTAGGCAACCAGCCTGAATAAAGCACTTTATGTATGCACACTAGACCCTTCCATTGGATGGGAGCTGCCTTTGGGGTCTGGAGGTCCCTTCGGTCACTTCTGAGTCCACAGCCTTGCTAAGGCCCCTGGCCCACTCTATGGCTGCTGCTGTTGCCAATGGCCAGTTCAGACCTTACCCTAGTGCTCACCACATGGCATGCCCAGGTCTTCACCCTCCTAGTCTGGGTCCTGCCCAGCCCCTCAGACCCACGTTCAGAAGACCCAGGTTAAGGTAAGCATGGCGAGCCAGATGCTACAGTAGGAAGCTACTGTGGTGCTGGAGTCTGACAAATAAGAATGCCAGTCCTGGCTCCAACTCTTAACTCTGGGCAGGTGCCTCGGTCCCATGGAGTCCGCATTCCTCTGGGAGTCACCTTGCCCCAGAGATATCCTTAAGGCCTGGCAGAGTGCTAGGCGGGGCAGACCCATCTATCATGGCAGCCCCACCTGCACCTCTCCTAGGATTGACCCCTGGCAATCCTTAGGTGCCAGAATAAGTGTGATCCTGACAAGGGATGGTCTTAGGAGCAGGGCTGCCTCTGGACATTGCTGTAACCCGAGTTTGGGGACAATGTTCCCCTGGCTTCTAGAACTGGTATGATAGCACCCTCATGGCCCAGCGTCGCAGGAAGGAACAAAGAGCAGGAGGCAGAGGAAGCTAGCATGCCTTTCTGGGACCGAGAGTCTCCACTTAGCTAAGAACCCAGCACCCCAGCTTCGTGACGTCAGCTGCCCAAGATCCAGAAGCTCCACACACATTTAATTCCACTTCAGTGTCCAGTACCTCAGCCAGAGTGGCCACCCCCACCCCAACCCCCGAGTCCCATCCCCACAGTCGGCCCAATGACAAGCCTCATCTGAGCTGGGGACACAAGAGGCTAAGCCAATGTCCTCTCACTCCTTAAAGCTGAGGGCTAGGGAGAGGGTCCCCAGTGAAAGGTCCCCACGCTCCTTTCACTGCTAAATTCAGCCGCTCTGGGGTGGCTTCGAGACCAAGCAGATACAGCTGGCATTCTTTGGGCATGACTGAGTCCAAGAAGGAAGAGTCTCCTGGCTTTCCATTCTCCCTGTCCTCCCCGCCCCGCCCCAGCTTTTGGTTCTCCAGAAAATAGTCTGCTTCCTTTCCACGACATTATCTTTTCCTGACAGGGTTCTATATGGCTGGTCCAAAAGAAACCACAACTCAGCTTCCGAACCCCTTCCGGACACAGCCCTGAGAAGGGAGATAAGGTAGGGAGCCTGGGGCAGGGGGGCGGAGGCTCCAACCTCTGATTCCTCCATTCCAACGCCATTGCGTCACCCATTTCTCAAGAGCAAGGAAAGGCATCTTTCCCAGGGAAAGGCCAAATGCTGGGAACATGGGTGACTAAGTGACGACTCAGCAGGCCGGGGGACTTTGACCTTCGGCTATAAGAGGAAGGGGGTCTGCAGGACCTCAGGCCCCTCTGCTGGGGCTTCTGGGATCTCAATGTCAGCAAAGATGGGTCCTGTGTCAACCCGTCAGGAGGAGGTCCCTGGGCCAGAGAGAAACCTGGGCAGTCTCCTTTCTAGGAATCCACATATTTGCCAACGAGCTAAGCTTCTCGGACAGGGGGTCCTTTTGAAAATAGGGAACGTAAACCCTCCCCATTGGCTTCCCTTCACTCTCAGAACCCCAACATAGATAGACCCTTCTTCCCTAACCCAACAGCCTCCACAGGCTCAGGTACATGGGGGAGGGTAATGGTGATGCAGCAAGGCAGCTGCCACCGCAGTGGAGAAGGGGAGAGGTCTGCAAGGAGGCCACATGCACCTTCCTGCTTCCCGTGAGCAATGCCTTCCAATCAGCCCCCAAAGCACACCGCCACCATCCTCTTAAAATCCGCTAGGGATGGCAGTTCTGTTACTTAACTGAGAAACGATCTGGCAATGATTCCCAACCCTTGTCCTTGGGAAGCTCCCTCTGAAATCTGACCTTGAGCCCACTGCTGGAATCCACGTCCATTGGGACCCTAGGCTAGTTGAATGCCAGGCAGACACTGGCGCCATTCACTTGATGTGCCCAGACTACTCAAGGTGTGCAACCTAGGCCAAGTCCTGGCTCAGCTGTAGAAGGGGTTCGATCAGGCAGCCCCCAGGGCAGGTTGGGGTCTCGCCAGCCCCGACATGTGTTAAGATCCTGAAGCTCTCTGCTCTGGGAGACCCACACTGGGAGAGCCAAGCATTGGTGCTGGAAGACCAAGGTGGGAACAGTTACCTGATTTCAGCATGCTGGAAGTGCGGGTTGCCTCTGGTGTGGTGAGATGGTTCCCACTGGCATCCCCTGGGACCCGGGAAGGCGGCGATGCTCTCATGCGCTAGTACAACTTGTGGATACTGAGGTGGGGGTCCTCGGGGCTCTGGGCCCTCGGCAAGGGGGCCCCTGGGTAGGGGTCCCTGCTGGTTTCGGGCCAGCTGGGGGAAGCTGTGGGAGGAGCTCATGTGGCTCGGGGCCCTGGCACCATTCCTCTCCAGAGACAGCTGCAGGAGCCGCTCACTCAGGGAGCGCACGTGCCCGTGCCGCAGCTCCTTCAGGGCCTCGTCCTGCCGGCGGCTGCCTCCCAGGGCCCCACGTGGCTCTCGCTCGCTGGTGGGAGGCCGGGAGCCTGCCTGCTGGGCCGCATAGTACTGTGAATGGGCTTTGGCCTCCTCGTAGGTGGGCAGCTCCTCTCCCTTGCTGGTCTGTGGGCCAAGCCGATAGAGGGTGTTCTCTGCCAGGTGGGCCTCCCCACCCTGATGCTCCTGGCCCTGGGGTTCTTGTCGTGTGGCCTGCTGCAACACCTGACTATCCTCAGGTGGCAGGATCTCCGAGGAGGCTGGGGGGCTCCCTGTGCCCCCAGCCCCACCCCGCAGGGCCTGCTGCTGGATGGCCAGCAGCGTGCGGGTCTCGGTCAGGTTGCCATAGCGCAGCTGCTCCTGGATGAGGCGATGCAGGACTGTGCCCGAGGAGTCTTCCAGTGTCCTCATGCTTCCGGGCTGGCACACGCCCACTCCCGACAGTGGCCAGCAGCACCTGGGCGGGGAGAGAGCCAGCAATCAGTGAGAGCGAGTCGGGAGGGGAGGACTTTCCATCACTAGTACAGAGTAAGGCTTGGTGGCATAGCGGGCACACGCTGGGCTGCTAACCGCAAGGTCATCAGTTTGAAACCACCATGGGAGAAAGACGGGCCTGTCTTCCTCCATAAAGAGTCACCATGTGGGAAACTCACAGGGAATCATTCTATTCCGTCCTGGATCGACAAGGTACCAGCGAGCTTAGGATTTGGTTTTGGGGGGAAGGGGTAGCCAAGCCTGGGTTCATGTACCAAGGCTGCCCCCTCCTGATAAAGGCAAGTTCTCTAACCTCTGAGCCTCAGTCGATCCAAAAAAAATGGAAAGAATACCAGCCTCATACAGCGGAGCACTGAAAGCAGCAGTAGCTGTAGGGCTCCAAGGACACTGCAAACGCTTAGCAAGTGAATGCTAAGCAAATGCCATTCTGGAAATTGCTATACCTAGGGAAAGACAACCGCGGCCAGATGTTCATCAACCAGTAACAATGGCCCCTGTGGGTAGCTGTATGAGGGCGGACAGGGCAGGTCCACAGGAACCAGCTAAGATCTAGCCTGGTCTACCCAACACGAAGCAAGCCTGAGCCAGCCCCACCACCTCTGACCCCTGAACGCACTACCCATTCCTCTGAGCCAGTCAGCTCGGCTAAATCAAGGTCTATTGATAGAACGAGCCCAGGGCTCCTAGTCAAGGGTTAGCAGGAAGGAGAGAAATGCACCTGGACTGGTAGACTGAGGTTAAAACTTTACAATAGGACCATGATTGTGAGCTAAGGCAAAGTTTTCCCTAACATCAGCAATACCACTGGAGCCAACTGGAAGAGCTGAAGGGGTCTAAGGTCTCTGGGACCTCGGGGCACAGGGCGCGGACAATCCAAAGACGGGTTTGCCTTCCAGGACTGGCCTCTTTGAGACTCAGGCCCTTGGAAGGCTGCCCATGTCACTGGGTCTCCTTTCCACAACCTTCTCCAACACAAACCTCCAAGCCTGTATTCAGGGAAAACCAAACAAAGCCCATACTTCCACTGATCCTGTATATGGGGTGGGGGGGAAAGGGGGAGGGACGGGTAACAGGAGAAATGAGGCCCTCCTGCGGCACAAAACTAGTCGCGCCCCGCCCCCGCTTGGTTTTGGTATGCAGTGAGAGCCGCCATCACTAGACCACTCCCCCCTCCCCAGGCCTCTAAGGAGTGGGAGGGTGCTACCGGACTGGAGGGGTCCTCTACTGCCAATCTTTCTGTTACACACACACACACACACACACACACACACACACACACACACACACACACAGCATGGGCGAGCAATAAGAGCTTCTATACACACACACACACACACGTTGAAAGACCCTAAAATTTCCATAGGCAAAACAATCACCTGGAGGGCAATTTGCCCTGGATTTTCATCAGTGGCAGGGCATTTCTTAGGTTAATCACTGTCTGAGCTGCCTCCGGCTGAGGCCATGGGTGCGGCTCAAAGGAATGCAGGATCGGGCCGCCAGATTCCCGGCCCCCAACGCTGTGGGAGCGCAGGGCACAACCCCAGGGCTTCCTCGATCCCAGGGTTTTTTTTTCCCACCAAGCCCCTCGGGAACACATCCTTCCCGACCCCAAGGGACTGAGCTGTACCCCCGACCCCAACTCAGCCCCTGCTGCACTGGCGCGCCCGGCTGACAGCAACCTGCGCCCCTTTCGAAGCGCCTCTGCGCTTTGGGCCTGGGCTCACGCTCGCCCGAGGAATCGGCGCAAGTCCCTCAAGGAGAGCGCGCTCGGCGGCCGCGGGGCACCGGGAGCGGGCGAGGGCGGGCGGCGGCCGCCAGAGGTCTCTAAGCGTCCCGGGTCCGCCTCCCGGGTCCGAGCCCTCTTTGTTTTCCGAATACTCCAGCGCTGACGTCAGCGGGCTGGACTGCGGGCTGCATTCTTGCTCTGTGAGAGCCGGCTGGTGGCTCCACGGAGGATTTTCCAAGGAAGACAAAGACGAATTCCTAGGCTAGTTGGGGGCAAAGACACCTGTACCCCCCTATCGAAGCAAACAGACCTCCAACGCCCTGCAACTTAAATTCGACGCAGCCCCTCCAGGGCAATCCCCCCGCTTACGTCCCCCCCCCCCC